AAGACAACAGCTGGCTTCCAATAGGCAAAACCAGACATTTTCTCCCACACTGCGCATCTGAATTTTGCTACTGATGCATTTTACACCAATACACTTTGACAAAAACAACCCTATAGCAGGGTTTTAGTGGGCCTGGGACTTCTGCAACCTCACCTGAGGGTATATCAAGCATTTATGCTCTGGGGCTGGGCAGGGGCAGATCAGCAGTTGGTGTTGAAGGAAGCCCTTCTTCTGCCTGAGCACACCACACCTTTCACCTCCCCTGCTCTTCATAAAGGCTGCTCAGGTGCAAGCAGTTTTTTCCCTATAGGGTCCGGATGGGGCAGGGGGGACCTACCCGGTGCTGTCCTGCACAGTTCCCAGCAGCTCTCCCAGACGGTGGCGGTGGTACCTGTCAGCAGCAAAACACAAATGAGAGCTGAGGTGTCAAAAGCTGCCCTGGTGTGCAGGCAGTTTCCAGCACCCACTGCTAGCCACTCTCCCTGCCCGGTGTGATGGGCATGCTATGGTGTCCAGAGAAGGGTGGGAAAACTGTTGATAAGCCCATAAATCCTAAGGCACTACCTGGGGTACTGGCTCAAAGCCAGCAGTAGCAGGAAAAGTCAGAACCCCATTCTGAGGGTCTGAAAAGTACCGCAAATCCTGCTACAGCATGCTTTTAATATGATACAGCTACTTTTAATGGGATATCGTTGCTCTGCAAATACCCTGGATTATGCTGCAGGGTATTTTCATTGCAGAGCACTGCTCACACCACAATAAATTGCAGCTTATGTCTGGGATCTGGCTGCAATGAGAGCCTGAAGCTGGTTTAACTGCTAGTGATTCCCAGTGTCTACTGGGCAAACTCAGCAGCAACAGCTGTGCCCCCACAGCCAGGTTTCTGTACAAGCTTCTGGCTTCCTCTGGTTATCCTGGCATCTTTTGAGATGTATTGGCCAGTGTATCCCTCAGGGATGAGGAAACTGGAGGTGGGAGCATCCTGTGAGCCTCACCAAGCCATTCCTTACATGAGAATGTGGCCCTGAGCCACATCCAATCTCAGCAAAATCAGCCACTGAAGTGCCTTGAGCACAGCTGAAAGGGGCAGAAATGTACCCCAGAGTATTAAATAATCTGGAGTTATTCTACTGCTTTTGAACAATGTAAATGTCAAAGGCTGGATTACAGCCCTGGTTACACAACAGAGTATTACCTGGCTCTTTTTTGTGCCCCTATCTGAAAAGCAAACCTATGCTGATTTATTGTCTCCCCCCCCAGTGCTGCCCTACAACAGACCTGCTTGTGCTAGCTTGCCATGGGGGCTAAAGGACACACAACTGGCGCCCATCCCTCAGGGAAGATGTGGCTTCCCTCCTCCTTACCATGCCAGAAAAACATGCCTTCACTAGGAGCAGATTTTCACTCTAGCTGTGTATTTAATACATTGGGAAGCAGTTATAGAGAGAAAACTGACTGCTATTATATTCATCTTAGTTTGCCCTTTGTTTCAGTTACATCTGTCTGAATTTCAGTTCAGGAGAGCTGGAATATAACTGCAAGCACCCCTCTGACCGCTGTTACCCACATGGATAAGCTGAGAATCCTCCCTGTGCCTCCCTTCCCATTGCTCTGCTCAGGCTGTTCCCAGGCCAAAAGCTCAGGCACCTCAGTACTAATATTCCTCAGTGATAACATACATTTTTCTTGTGCCAGCACCTCAAATCCCCCAACCCAAGCCCCAGAAGTGCTATGTGGAAGCACAACTCGTGCTTTCCTGTTGCTGGTGGGGCACACTGGATGGCACACCCCATGCTTTCAGCAGCACATTGGGAAGCTGGAGAGAGCCATACTCACAGGTATGGAGAGGGCTGTGCTGAGCAGGCACAGGCACAGGCACACGAGGGCTGTTTGCATCTTGAGCAGCTCCTGGAGACACAAAGGAAAGCATCACTGAAGTTTGTCTTCCTGGAACTTGTGGTAACCAACAGTCCCAGTCAGCAGCAACCCAAAACCTCCCACAGCACAGGGTTATCCAGTGACCCTGGCTTTCCCCAGCCTTTGCAGTGGCCCTCAGCATTACTGTGCCTCTCTGCACTCCTTGCAGCAAAGGCAATGCTCTTACCATGTGCATAAAGCAGCAAGGTGAGGATGCATCCATGGCCAGCAGCACTGACTGGGTACTTTAACACCAGCTGTTAAAGCTTCTTAACATGCCATGTCAAAACACCTTGGGTGGGTATTTGCAATAAATGACCACCACAACCACTGTGGGCTAAGCCATACAGTCATAAACCTGGATTAAGACACTTGCACACTGTTTTCTAACAGCACAGATAAATGGCAGAAGACAATAGCTCTTTTGGCTAATAATTCCCATTTCACCCATCCACCCTGGCTTGGGCTCGCAGGTCTAGCCCAAAAATTATATTCAACCATGCAAGAGCTGCTACAGAAAACATCAGAAGGGAATTCATGTACAAGGATTCTGTGATTCCATAAGGATCAGCAGTACAAAGCAATGTAGGTTCAAGAGAGCCTAATGCACAGATATGCATAGCTGAGGCTGGGGCCATCTCCCTGTCCCCACCAAGGCTTGCCCAGAGCGAAAGCAGAAGATGCCCTGCTCAGAGAGAGCAGAGCCGAAGGGCTGTGGAGAGACAGGCCAGGCAAAGCAGGTAAGGAGATTACCTTTTGCTGTCGGAGGCAGGTCCCAGCAGCAGACCGTGGAGGCTGTGTCCACTTTGCTGAAATTTAAAGTTGGCCCTGGGTGTGCAGAGCCAATCAGCTCCTGCCCAGGGACATTTGTCAGGGCTGGCAGCACCCGCAGATAACCAGGGGGAGTAATTTCCAGCTAAAAATGTGTTTGTGGTGGAAGACAGCTATCAAATGTTCCACCTGGCTGGATAAACAGAAAGCATGAGTTATAAATATCTGTTCTGAAGGCGAAATTGCTCGATGATTAGCGCAGATCGTAGTGTGGCACACGTCCAGCCTGGTTATTGATAAGATGGGGTGCAGGGGGGTTTAACGTGCTCACTGTGACTGACATGGGAAAGCCTGACAGGGCTGCAGGAACAGAAGGGTGATACAATGAGCTTGTCCTGGTCGCAGGCACGACAGGCATTGTGAGACAGTGCTGGCCAAGCTGAGAGCTGCCACCACACCATAGCTTCTGACACTTGCTTTTGGGGTTTCAACCTCAGCCTGCCTGAGGTTGAGCACCTCAGCCCGGTGCAAGTGCAAAATAGAAGAGTGGTTTTGAAAAAAAGGTATTTTTTTCATGCAGGGTTTGCACAGATCTCTTCGAGCCCATCTTTGCTGTAGGAAGGTGCTACAAGGATGTGCACAACATATGTAGTCTACTCTTGCACCTTTGGTGGTATTGCTGGTCACTTATACATATGCCAAGGTGGGTCGCCCATGCTGTGGGCAGCCTGGCTAGGTGGCTCACGGTGGTGATGGTGACAACAGCTCCCATTCTGCATGACACCCTGCCTCAGACCAAACCCTGGGAGTGGGCACAACCATTGCATTAACACTAGAAATACTCAAAACATCAGCATCCATCCTCAGGTGGGAGCAAATCTCAGGGCCAGGAGGAAACTTGCCCTTCCCCAGGCCAGGGAGCTGCGGTCAGACGCAGCCCCGTGGATGCTGGAGCAGCGGCCAGTGCGCTTTGGCGCAGGGATGCAGAGCTTTGGCCAGGTGCCCATGGGGACTGACGCACATGGGACTGGGCCATGTGCCCTGTGGGAGCAGGACCTGGCCCTCAGCAGTGCCAGGGCCCTTTGTCCCTGCTGGTTCCCTGACGACTTTGGGCACCCCTGGGGATGTGGACAGTGGGGTTCCCCTACCACAAAAGCTTGCAGGTCTCCCCAGTGCCACCACAGGTATCTGGCTGTGGGCTCCCATCCTGCAGGCAGCACCCCCTGCCACCCTGGCAGCTGCAGCCCAGCTTTGGCACGTGGAGGTGGTTTTGTACAGTAGCCAGCAAAGGAGAATAGAAACTCAATCTACAGGTTCATCTATACTGGAAGCTCAACACAGGTTTCCCTTCCAGGAGTGCAAGGACAGCACGGTACCTGCCATAACTCGTCAGTTTTCATAAATGAGGGTACCTGCCTGGAACCCAGAGGAATTTGGTCCTTCCCCATCCCTGGTGCTGATGCCCAGTTGACTGGGCCCATGCTCACATGGGCAGGTGAGTCTGGGTAGAGATCTGGGGACCACAAGCCAGGCATCCCCATCTCTGATACAGGAGGCAAGTAGAGGCACCACTGCCACTGTGACACCCCTGCCTTGCCCTGGGGATCAGACTGTGTGGCAGGGAGAGATGTGGACTGTTTTGGGCTGCAGCACTCATGTCCAAAACACACGTCCAAGGTGCCTGGCTTTGGTGTGACCCACATGCCTGGCTCACAGCTGCAGGAGCAAAGCTGTCATTACAGGCTGTGCATTTACAGCTAGTGATGCACGGAAAGAGAAATTAACGTCATTACCTTTATTAATATTGCCTGGTGTGTGGTCAGGCTACGGGAGGCATGCTACCAAGGAGTGGAAGATGTAAAGTTATCATCACCCACATATTGCAAATTCATGCCAACTCTACATAATACATGGCAGTAATCCCACAGTAGTGACCCTGAAAATGCCCTTTCATTTTCTGGAGGGGACTCTACAGAGGCATTCCTAGTTAGTCTTTCTGCTTCTCCCTCCTTTTGTGTGCACCTGAGCTGGAATAAAAAGATTTAACCCTGAGCAACATGAGCATCTGCAGCCCCTCAAATCCACCAAGTGTTGTGCTGCCCTACTGACCCCAGTGAATGTGGCAGCAAAGCTTTTGTCACCAAGAAGCTCAGTTCTGTTGCTTTATTTCATTTTGCTTCGTAAAATACAAAAAAAGGATGGGACAGAGCCAGTGCACGCCACAAACTGCCCAGCATTCCTTCTGGGATGTGGCAGCTGCAGGGAGCATGCGGATGGATGTTCCTGAGTGGGATGGAGCAGGAGGGGCCAGCTCACTGGCTGTAGTAGTAATCCTGGCCATACACATCATAGCCGTGCCCCTTGTAGTAGCCGTACTCATCCTCGTAGGCCCGGTAGCTGTCCCCACGGGCATATTCATCCTGCTCCCCATAGCTGCCGTCGGTGGTGCCCTCGTCCCCCCGGCCATGGCTCCCGACTGTCACCTCGTACTCCCACTGCTCCCCGGCTGTGGTGGCATACGTGGGTGCCACATCTCCTGTGGTGGTTGCCTGGGTCAGCCCTTCTTCGTTGGTGGTGCTCGAAATGGTGGTGGCTTCAGTTTCCTCCTCCTCTTCCTCCTCTTCCTCCTCTTCTTCTTCTTCTTCCTCTTCCTCCTCTTCCTCCTCCTCCTCCTCAGCTGCACCAGTGCCCTCCTCAGCCACTGCAGTGCCATTGACATGAGGTCCATCTGCTCCCTCAGTGGTGTTGGTGCTTGTGCCATTGATGCCACTCTCATTCTCAGCTATCTCTTCCTCTTCCTCCTCTTCCTCCTCTTCCTCTTCATTCTCATCACTGTCTTCGTTTTCAGAGTCAACACCCTTGCCCACAGTGCCGTTCCTGCCCACCTTTAGGGGCCCTTGGCAGCCCTTGCCCTGGCAGGGGAAAACAACAGTTTTAGTTGGGTGCTGGGAGGTTAAAGCTTTTTGGTGACACTGACATGGGGCAGGTGTGGGCAGAGCTGAGCATCACCCCCATCCCTTGAATGGCAAGACTGCCTTTTTGGGGTGCCCCTTCCACCCTCCTGACAAGTTAATGGTCACAGCTTGGTCCAGCTATGGGTATCTTGCACAGCAGACTCTCAAGCAGAAAAGGGGTGCCGGGCACCCCATGGGTGCAAGCAAACATGCATTGAACATAACCCCCGTTCATGGGAGCTCCTCTCCAGCCCCCCAGAACACACCTGCTGGGGGCATGCAAGGTCTCCTCCCAGCCCACCCTTGCTGTCTCCAGGGGCTGCTCCGATGAGGTGGCCGTCTGCCTTGGTGCCACCATGGGATGGCTTCTGCAAGGACAGGGAGAGAACAGGGGGGGTGGTCAGCAGTGGGAGCACAGCAGAGCCCCCCCCAGCAGTGACAGGGGCACACAGCATTCCTGCACAGTGTTTGGCACTGCTCTGAGTTTCCTTCTTTCCCACGGGTCTCGCCCCAGGCTGAAATCGAGAAGCTGCAGCAGGGCAACCCCAGCCATGCAATTAAGCGGTGGTGGCTGGAGCTGGGTGTTCCCATTCTGGCTGCACATTTTGCTTTAAGAAGCATCTAAAGGTTTGCTTTTGAAGTTACCTCTCCTGGCTTCCAACAAACAAAGCAAGCCACAGGCACACTACTTGCAGACACACTACACACAAGGTGTAGATAGATGGCAAGAGCATGACAGCGAGGCATGAGCCCCAGTCCCACCAGCAGTAAGCCACCAGCACCACTCAGCCCCAGGGACCACACAGCAGAGCAGATCCCTCAGCAGGGTGCACGGCAGTCCATGCTGCTAAAAGAGGAAATAAATAACCCAAATTCAAACAGAGCCTAGAGCAACCACTGCAGAACTGGTGGGGCAGCTCACCCTCTCCATAGCCCTTGGAGCACCTTGCCACCAACAAATGAACCCAGGCATGGCAGGGAGACATAGGGTCACTGCCATCCCTGACCAGGGCAATCCCCATTGCTCATGTGCCAAGACCAAGGATGCTCACCCTGGTGTTTTGGGCCAACTCAGACACTTAAAATATGGGTGTATCTGAAGCCAGAAAAAAACTCAGGCTGTTTTCCTCTCCACTGGGGAGCCACCAGATTGCGTGGTGAAGCCAGCTGTAGTGGGTCTGCAGCAGGGATGCCCCCCATCTAGTAGCCAATATAATCATGCTCTTTATGTACCTGAGGAGTTTGTAAAGACCTTGGGGACTTTAATCATGATTTATCCTGCTGACCACCTCCTGCATCCCTGCTCCAGAACAGCCACTGCTCTGCTGCCCTTGACACAAAGAAGGCTGCCCGGAACAGCAGGCTGCCTTCCCCAGATGCAGCTGCATTCATGTGTATCACTTAATTCCTTCCTCAGGTATGAAATTCCCCCTTCGGCTGTCCCATCTCACTACTTGAAGTTATCCCTAATGATCCCAGTGGTAGGAAAGAGCAACAGGCAGAAAGGGGCAAATTGCAGGGAGGCACAGAGGCCACCTCATGCTGCACCCCAGCCCCAGGCAGGCCTGCAAAGGGGAGTTCAAGACCAGATGCCCAGGCTTACACTCCTGTTAAAAAGACCCCTGAAACTGGCATTCAAATCACTAAAAAAAGTTGGGGGGGAAAGAGAAAAGAGGTGATTACACCTGACACATAGGTTTCCGAGTATGCTGGATCTCTGTCTCAGAGCACTTGTGTGCCTGAGACTAATGAATTATTTGTGAGCATTTGCAGCCTGGTGGGGCACAAGACACCTTTGTAATCCCTGGCTTTTAATTCTGGGCCTGAGTGACCCTCTCAAATGCAGTGGTACCAATTTCATGTTGATCCAGCAGACAGGTGCAGCATTTCCAGCTGGGCTGGTACAGATGTGCATTTCCCAATATAGGATCAGTTTGCATGCCTTCACACAGGCATGTGCAAAGCATAACTGTATTTCCCACAGCAATATTATCAGCTCTATGGGGGCAGTGCACCCTGAAAAGAGAAAGTAAGAGAAGTCCCTAACAGCGCTTTTTGCCTGTGTGAGCCTCCCTGTTTCTGCCCTTTGGATTATCCTGCTCCTTTCTGAGCCACCGAAAATGGAAACCCAGACAGTTTGCCTCAGTTGTTGGTGCATCCTATGCCTATCCTCTTTAGAAAGGAAATAAAAAGAGAAAACATACAAAACACAATCAAATAAAGCCTAGAGTAGCAAATCCAGTCTCATCCAGAGCGCAAGGCTGTGGGCGGTCAGCAGCCACAAAAGATGATGAGCAGAGACTACAAAACCAAAGAAAGTCCCCAAATTCCCGTATTTGTTTTTCAGGCTGATGATTTGCTGTACTCACCCACCCTTCCTCCTCTTCCTCATCTGAGCCGTCCCCCTCTTCCTCCGATGAGTCACTGCCCTAAGGAGATGGAAAACCAAGCCATAGGTAGCCAGACTGGAGGATCTCCATTAGCATCACAGCTGTGATGCTTGCCCCGCAAGGCAGTGGCAGACCGTGCCCCCAGCTCATCTGGGTCAGAATCTCCACATTCTGTGGGCAGCGAAGCATCAGCGGCCTCTCTGAAGCACCCACCTGGTACCGTTGCTGTGGGGGATACAGGTAGGCATATCTGTACAGGTAATACCGATGCCTGCTCTTGAGCACCTATCGAGAGAAGAAGGGGGTAAATCCCACTAGGCTGGGGCTTGAATGACTGAAACGTTCACATCCTCAAGGGCAGCACTGCATGGGGCTGGGCATGTGGGATGGGGGACATCCTACCGCGTTTTCTTCTGAGTCATCCAGCTTGGCTCGCCGCAGCCAGCTCTTGACCTGGGGGAAAGGGTTGGTTGGCAGATGTCCCACACCAGCCCCAGCGAGGCCAGGGGGTGCCAGGGTGCTCCCCCAACTGCCTAGCACTCACCGAAAAGGCACATGCTATCCCCACCAGGCAGGCGAAGACCAGGGCAGTCCTCATGGCTGCTTTCTCTAGGAACAGCAAAACATGGCAAGGACTTGCTTTCCAGCTACCCCAAACCATACAGGTGTCTGCGTCCACATGGGTGAGTGGGGAGAAGAAAGGCTGATCTCCAGCAACCTCTTGATGGGGTCACCCAACCCCTTCAGAGATCCAAGTCCTTCTTTTTGTATTTGAACAAATCTACATTTTAGTTTTGAAAGAAGCCAGAAAAGTAAGTTTCACCCAGTAGCAGATGCCTTGCTTTCCCTGGGCAGGACCTGCTTCCCGATTGCCTCCAAGTGAGTGGGGAATGCCAATCCCCATTGGAGATGGAACAGGAGCAGCCAGCGGGAGCGCTGCCCACTGTGGCCACCCTCCCACAGCCATGCAACCTGCTCAGAGTCTGCCCAGGGAGCAATGCTCATGGGAATTACACCTCAGAGAGCTAACCTCATGGAGGAAAAATAAATACGCAAGCAAAGAGATGAATATAATTGCTTCTACAGTCTGCATTGACAAAAATAGCACTGGAAAGGCACAAAGGCAAGAAGCCTGCTGCAGGCATATCTGGGGGGGGGGGGGGAAGGCTTGGCTCTAGGCAGGTCTGAGTTGCACTCCCTAAGCCCCACCAAAACCCAGCCTGCTTGACTTCATCATGTCCCCAGCAAGGAACACGCCTGATCTTTTCCCCAGCACCTCAGGGAGGGATGCTCCCAGCACCAGTCAAGCACAGTAACCTTCCTTTTTCCTACTCTTCCTCCAGCTAAACACACCATCAGTTGTGCTGAGTTTGTTTTTTTTTTGGGGGGGGGGGGTCAGGGGAGTTGTCAAATTTATCTGCACTTGAATTTTCCGCATCTTTGTTTAACTCAGGCTAGAAAACAGCTGGCCACATGCCACCTTCCCTGGCCATGCAACGAGGCTCTGAATGATCATCCCCCCACCCAAGTGCTCCATGAAGGCACAGACCCAGGAAAAGGCTAAACGCAGCATCCAGCCCCACCAGCAAGCCGAGTCCCTCCGTCCCCCTCAGGGACCAGCAGGCAGCAATGCACAACCCAGAGAGGAAAAGCAGCAGCAAGCTTACCCAGCCCCAGCACCGATGGCTACCTGTGGAGTCAGCCAGCACTGATTTCCTCGCGCTGCTTCCCACTGGGATATAAGGTCTATTTTTGCCCCCTCCCCCCAGCCAGTCACCGCCCTGTCCAGAGTGACGCCAGCCCTCCAGTGTGCACCAGAACACCCCCAAACTCGAGCGCCGGCAGATTTGGTGCACAAACATAGCGGGCGCAGCGTTGCCAACCCGGGGAGGTTTGCACTGTGCCGCTTAATTGAGGGTCTGGCCTCAGAGCAACGGCCAGAGGAGAGGAGGCCGGAGGGTATAATAACACCCTGGGTTTAAATGAAAATAAATATTGGGAAATCTGTTCTCAGGGGGTGTCTGCCTCCCTTTTTGGGAAATTCTGTCACTGTTTTTGCAAGCAGACAAAAAAGACCAACCTCAAAGGCCTGGCTCCACAGGCACTTGGGCATAGCCATTAAAGACAAAAAAAGGCTAAATCCAAACAAATCACTTTCCAGGCTGTCTGTAGAGGTGAAATGGGCCTCAGGAAGGGCAGGGAAAGAAAAAGGGACTTAGATACAGGTGTTACCAGTCCCCTTTTGGGAGCCATTTCTGCTAGAGTGACGCTACAGAATGCAGGTCTGCTTCATTTCTCGAGCCCCCTGAACCACACAGACCCCTACAGGGGCCGCCTGGCCCTGCATAGTCAGGTGTTGCCCAGCTGAAACCTGTTGGCTCTGTACATGTCCCCAGCAAAGCGGAATAACTGCCTGGGGCAAAAAAGATGCAAAACCTCCACCCTCATGGCTGCCCAAAGCTCAGCAGGGACCTTGGTACCAGGATACAGCCAGTGGTCAGAGAGCTCCTGCCCTGCACCTCATGGCAGGGGATGGGGGGCACATGGATGCTGCAGTGCCCCCTGGCACTCAACTCTGCAGAGACATCGTTTCCCTATATTTACTGTATCCTGCTGGTATTTTAGCCATTTATCTCTCCAGTGCACCTCTGCTTCCTCTTTCCCAGATTTTTCGTGCATGAGTGATGTGATGATAATGGCAAAGGCCCCTTCCTGCTCATGCATGTGCCCGGGCTGCAGCAGCTCATGGAAATGACTCCTCACCGAGTGCAGCTTTGCTTACCGCAGTGGCAAGGAGAACTGCAAATCCCTCCTGATACCTTCAGCCCTACAACCCCCAGAGAGGGAACAGCAGTGCTGGAAAATGCAGGTCGATTCATGATCGGGTTAGCCAGTGATCAAACCCTGGTTATTTAGGGCAGAAAAATCCTCTTTGCGGTGGAAGACCCTAACACTCATGTTTCTGCTCAAAATCAGAGGCCGAAAGCCTCACCCACATCCAGGGGAGCCCGGTTTGAGTCTGAATTTGATTAGGAAGCAAAGGATTTTCAGTTAATCAAATTCCCAGGTCACGACCAGAAAGACGAAGTGGAGGTTTTTTGTTATTTTGTCTTATTTTGCTCATCACCACATTGGCAGGTATATGGTGGGAAGTTGCTAACTGCTGACCAAACACCACGCACATCACATGCTTTTGGGGGTCGAGAGGTCCCTTGAGCCCCCTCAGGGGTCCATCAAGCCAGGCCGTATGCCCATTATGCAATCCCTGGGGGTGCAGGGCTCAGCAGTGCCTGCCCCAGGGGCTTCAAAGCCCGTTGTGTCACTGTGAGGAGCCTTAATTACAAGGGAGGCCTGGAGCTGGCCGTGGCTTTAGGCTGGCGCCTCGGGCCAGGAAAACCCACACACACCACGAAAAAAAAGAAAAGAAAGGAAAAAAAGGAGCTGTGCAGTTTTCCTATGCCAACACAGCAGCCTATGGTAAAGACAGGCACTGGCATCACGAGGGGCTCAGCATCCCCCATCCCCATGGAGCTGGGGTGGCTGGAGGGGTGATGGGGGGCAGAGGACAGACAGCCCTGCTTCCCACTGCCCCATGGGCTGCCCTGTGCAGGAGAGCAGTGAGCATGTGCCCAGCTTTGAGGTTGAACTTCATCAGAGCTGAGGAACAGAGAGTGCTGGTGGGAGGCAATTTCTAATGTAATTAAAGGGCTGCTGCTGCAGGCTGCTTAAAAAAAAAAAGAGAACTGACTGTAAAAAAATGTGTATTTCACCCAAGATCCCTAAAAAGCACCTAAAAAGGATAATTAACGTGTGCTGAAGTGCTCCCCCTGCCAGGACCTATATTTAGCCCCTGGGCCAGGGAGTGTGTGCTGCCTGTGCAGGCTACTGGCAGCAGCAACCTCACAGCACCATGCGGGGAAGTTGGACAAACACGCCCAAAATGTTCCTATTTGAAAGAATAATAATAAATACATTTTAAAAGGTATCATATCTCAGGATTGGAGCCACTTCATGACAATAAACTTGCCTTTGCAGCTAGAAACAGAACATGGAACAGCTCACCTGCCTCCAGGGGATGTGTAAAACCCCAGTACCAAAACCCCATTTTTCAGGGTCACACTGAGATGATAGGCAGGAATGTTGATCTGCTGCAGGACAGGAAGGCTCTGCAGAGGGGTCTGGACAGGTTGGATCCATGGGCTGTGGCCAGTGGTATGAGGTTCAACAAGGCAAAGTGCCATGTCCTGCACTGGGGCCACAACAGCCCCATGCAATGATGCAGGCTTGGGGAAGAGTGGCTGGAAAGCTGCCCGAAGGAAAAGGACCTGGGGGTGCTGATTGACAGAACTGAACATGAGCAGCTTGTGCCCAGGCAGCCAAGGAGGGCATCAGCATCCTGGCCTGTATCAGCAAGGCCAGGGCAGTGATCATCCCCTGTACTGGGCACTGGTGAGGCTGCACACTGAATGCTGTGTTCAGTTCTGGGCCCCTCACTGCAACAGAGACATTGAGGTGCTGGAGTGGGTCCAGAGGACGACAGAGCTGGTGAAGGGCCTGTAGCACAGCTCTGATGAGGAATGGCTGAGGGAAGTGGGCAGGCTTAGTCTGGAGAAGAGAAGGCTCAGGGGGGACCTTATCACTCTCTACTTGAAAGGAGGATGGAGAAAGGTAGGGGTTGTTCTCCCAAGTAACAAGTGATAGGACAAAAGGGAACGGCCTCAAGTTGTACCAGGGGAGGTTTAGACTGGATATTTGGAACTATTTCTTCACTGCTAAGGTGATCAGGCATTGGAACAGGCTGCCCAGGGCAGTGGCAGAATCACCATCCCTGGAAGTGTTAAAAAAATGAGGCCCTCAGTGACCTGGTTTAGTAGTGGACATGGCAGTCCTGACGTAATGGTTGGACTTGATGATCTTGAAGGCATTTTCCAATCCAGGTGATTCTGTGACTCCATGACAAGGCGGATGTGCAGCATGCAGCACATGTGTGCAAATGCAATGGTTTCCCTGTCAGTTTTTCCCTGTGTACAAGTACACCGCCACGTTGCTCGTTACACGCTTTGGTGAGTGAGCAGGGGTCAGGCCGGCAGCCCGCTCCCAAAGCCCTGCACAGGTACATCACTGCCGCACAGCAGACAATGACAACCCCATGCCCCAGCGCTGGTGCAGTTTGTGCCAGCCGCTGACACCAGCTCAGTGCTGCAACTGGGGGAGCTGGAACGCAGCATGGCCCGGCAAGGGCACTGCCTGTGACTTTGATGTAGGAGCCGCAGCCCATGGAGACCTCTCGGTCAGCGCACCCCTGCCTGGAGCAGGCTGACACGGCTCCTATGTCCAAATGTAATTGTTATTTTGGCAGGGCAGTAAGTGCTGGAGCAGCGTGCTCCTGTCTTGCTCAGGCCCGCTGCAGGGCTGAGGCTGTGGTTGGGACTGCACCAGCCTATTTCCACGCCCTGGAGCTATTCTGGAAGGAAACCTCAGGGCCAAAAATAAGTAAAGAAAAACAAAGCCAGAAAGACACATTGAGTGTGGAGGCCAAGGTGCTGCTGCAGCCAGGAAAAGGGGCACCCCTGCCATGCAGCCCAGAGGCCATGGCACCTCCAAAACCAGGGGAGAAAGCACCAGAGGCAGAGCTTACCCCAGCTCCCACCTCTCCCCATGTGCTGTTAGAGACAGGAGCATGTGTGCCAGGGTAACAAACTGGGGAGCAAAGTGATGAGCAAGGAGAGGGTGCACCAGCAACAGCATAAGAATCCCTCTCTTATCCTCCCTTACCTCCCATGGCATAAACCTAAACACAAACCAACATCAGCCTGGCATAGGGCTTGTTTTTTTTTTTGCAAGCAGTCAGTTTTAGAATAAAAGCAGGAGGAGAAAACATGTAAACCGCACCACGCATCAACCTCAGGTATCAGTACACAACCTTTGCATGTTGGCCCTCTGCAACTAACATCTAATATAATTACCCTTCTTTTTTCTGAGGCAAGAAACCAGATAAAGGAAATTAATTCTAGTCACATGCCTGGCAAACTGTAGGCCACAAGTAGCTCTGCAACGCAAGCACTCTGAGGTGGCCTGAACTCTGGGGTACAGAAACTCAGCAAGGTCGCAGCGTTATCACAAATCCCAGCACTTGCCACCACCCAGGTCCTCACGTGTCTGAGCAATACCTGTATATCATATTTCCTCTAGTTTTTTGCTTGGTTTGTTTTTTTCAGGAGGAAGAAATCACGCACCAGACTGAGTGAGTTACCAGGACTGGTCCCACCACCAGGCTGCTGCCTCCATCTGTGTGTGAGCACCCTCAAACACAGCCACATGACAGACACAGGAGGAAAACAGCTCAAATAAACCCCCCCAAAGCCTCCATTGTCAGGAGGAGAGCAGGCAGACAGCCCAGGTCCACTGCAGAGGTACCCACTGATAACCTGCACATCCAGCTCAGGAACTGAGCTGTCTGCCTAAGTCAAATCAGTGTCCCTGAACACTCAGGCATCTAGCTGGTGAAGGCACCAGCAATGGCTGCCTACCTCCCCCCCAAGCAGGCCCTTCACAAAGATACCGGAATTTGGGCTTAAAAAGTTGCCATTTGCACTAGAGGCCTGTGTCAGCAGGGAACCACTGGCTTGCACTGGGTATTTGTTGTTGTGTACATACATGAGTTGCAAAATACTTGCATTATGTATCCACATACACACAAACAAGTACATGCCTGTTGCACATTAACACCCAGGCACTCTGAAAAAGAAGGTTCTGAAAGTTTTCATGCTATAATGAACCTAATTTTTGCTCTGTGCATGGAACAGCATCAAGTCTGCAAGAGAAAAGGTAGGCACTGCCTCTGCTCCCCAGTTGCAGGTTCAGCTCTTGTCTTCAGACACCTGATACCTCCTGCTAAAATAAAACACCAGCTCTTTGCAGCTTTGTATTTCAGGGTATGAAAACAGAAAAACCTGAACTGCAAACCATTTGCTCCCTCTTTAAGGTCTCCATAGAGAATTCTGGGGGTGCCATGCAGGTGAATGGTAATGTTTGCACTTTATGTGCCCAACTCAGTGCTGGGGCAGTGCTGGGGCAGTGCTGGGAGGACCATAAACCTCCCAGAACATGGCTGTGCTGGGGGGCTGGGGGGAAGTTATTTGCTATTGAAGTGCATGGCAATAAAAGGAGATGGAATAAAAAATTCCTTAGAGCATTCAAAAGGTTTGTACCATTTTGGGGTTTCACTGAGGTCAGAGGCTGTTTTCCCACAGCTAAGACATTTCTTTTGTCCAGATTGACGGCAGCAGCGATTCCATCAGAGGTTTTTCCTCCCCATTGAAAAGGGCAGAGAAATACAAACTCTCCTGGCCACAGTTGGTGAGCAGCAGTTCTCATCATAGAATGACTTGGGCTGGAAGGGACCTTAACGCTCATCCAGTTCCAAGCCCTGCCACAGGCAGGGACACCTTCCATTAGACCAGGCTGCTCAAAGCCCCGTCCTACCTGGCCTTGAACAGCGCCAGGGACAGGGCCGACACAGCTTCTCTGGACAACCTGTTACAGTGCCTCACCACTCGCACAGAGTGTGGGTTCACTTCAGCTTAAAGCCATTCCCCCTTGTCCTGTCACTATGTGTCCTTGTATAAAGTCCCTCTCCAGCTTTCTTATTGACCCCTTTAGGTATAAGACTGCTTTAAGATCTCCCTGGAGCCTTCTCTAACTCAGCTCTCTCAGCCTGACTTCACAGGAGAGGTGCAGAAAACCATCACAGAAATCCATCCATGGGGCACAGAAGACACAATCCCATCTGATCATTTCTTCCACAGATATTCCCATTTCAGTAAGGCAAACAGGTGCCAAGGAGAAGCCCTGCAGCCAGCTACATCACTCAGCCTGCCATGGGAAGCCCAGGGCACTTGGCTGTGCAGCTAGAAGAGCCATTGTTGGATGGAGGGGTGCTCTGCCGGTCATGAGGGTCTCTCCCACTCAAGCCAGGAAAATCAGGGGGTCGAATGCATTCAGCTTGCACGCCGTGGCCACGCCATGTTCAGCAGCCATGCAGGGCTCAGTGCTGCTGCCTCCCACCTTCTCGGCCACACCAGCTACTTATTAAAAATAGAATTTTTTCTTCTAGGAAAAGACAAAAAAAACCACCCCCAAACAAGAAACTTTTCTTTTAAGATGGTGCAGACTGGTGTTTTCATAAACCCAAATATGACCAAAAATACCTGCTTTAAACCCCAGTGCTAGTTCCTGGGTAAATCACTGTGTTCAGCTTTAGAGGCCACCCCCAATGCACAAAAAATGTCATGTGGGTGGATAAAGAAAATGCATACATTGACGTGGGCATTTTTTGTCCTTGCCTAAACCACCCGACTTGCTGATCCTTATGATTTCATTGCACAATCAGCCCAAAACTGGGTGCAGGAACACCTCCAGTGATGGCAGGGCCTGCAGCTAACCTCAGCCACTTCTCCTGCCTGCCTGGCAGCAGAGAGTGGGAATGCTCCCCTCAGATGCATGCTGTATACAGGCAAACACTGCAAAAACCAAACACATGGGAGGCTGCTAAAAATGCCTTAAAATCCTCAAAGCACATATCCTTCTATTTTACTATGAGGGGAGTGAGGCACTGGCACAGGTGCAGGTGCCCCATCCCTGGCAGTGTTCAAGACCAGCTTGGATGTGGCTTTGAGCAACCTAATCTAATGAAAGGTATCCCTGCCCATAGCAGGTGGGCTAGAACTGGATGATCTCCGGCCATCCAAAACCTCACACTGTGAGGTGCTGCTGGCCACCTACGCTCTCCAGATGACAACCAGGGTAGCCCTGCTCACACAGCGATGAACAGCATTTGATGGGGACTGCCCAGTGCCACCAGTGTCCCCCAAAACCTGCGTGTCCCCTCAGGCAAGCGCTGCCAGGTGCAGCACAGGGGTACAGGAGGGCAACACCGCCCACCCTGTATGCCAGGAGGGACAGTCCCTTGGAAAGCCAGCCCGGCACAACCGGCAGGCAGCAGCCAGCTCTGCCACCGGCTCCCCGCCAGCCAGCGGGAGGCAATCCCTGGCGCTGCTGGTGGGGACATGCGTGTAAGTGCAGCAGAGCCCTGGGAAGGCACGTGGAGGGGACCCACGTGAAGGGGAGGACAGCCAGCTACCCCCCAGCACAGGGTGCACGGGGTGCTGCGTGGCTGTTTGCTACATACATACCCCTCCCGCTCAAGCTAAAGCAAATCAACCCAGTTTGTCTCTCCATGCATGAGCCAAGAGGAGGACGAGTGCTCGCCTCCCCTTCACTTGTCCTCACCCTTCGCAGCACTGCTCACTCAAGGGTGAGGACAAGCAGAGAGTCACACACAGCGCTCAAGAAGCAGTTTCACGGAGCTTGCTCCATTCACCCTTGTGACATCTCAGCCATCCTGCTCAGGGGATGGGCTCACAGCAGAGCTGCAGGGCATCCATCGCCAAAAACCCCTCCCAGTGCCTATACCCAGCCGCTGTCCCCATGCAAACACCTCTGATGTGACCTAGCTAGCGCCCGGAACGTCCCCACTGCCTGCGCGGTAGCACCGCTTGCTGGACACAGAAGACTTCACAGCAGCACTACCCTACGCCGCTGCCGGGGTTTGGGCGGGCAGCAAACACATCATTGGTACAATGTTAAAGCAGCAGCTGTCAGCCAGCTCTTTCTGCACTTCTGGGCTGCAGCCAAACCTGTGCTTGCTGTCTTCCACCCCAGGCATGGGGCTGCGCACCAGCATTTTGGTACCCAGGACCCTGACAGGCATCATCAACTTCACAGCATACTGAACTCCTCGCATCGAATGCAAAGGGTCCAAGAAATAAGGGGCAAGACACAGCAAGACACTGTGGAGACTGGGGGGCAAAGGAGAGAGGGTCAGGAAAGAGGCAGCAATGTGGAGAAGCTGTATGTTTCGGAGCTGGTCTCATACAGAAGTAGGAAGGGCTTACACAGGGTGGAAATTAATACAAATTCCACTAAACCCAGGAGCTGTTCATCTCCCAGCTTTTCTACTGGTAGGTAGAAAGAGCCTACAAATGAAGTGCAGTTTTGCTAGAAGTAGTACCAAATTATTTCTTTACTGGCTCTTGCATTTGGCATCACAATGCTCAGCAGTGACATCCAAGGCAGCTGAAAGGCATGCACTCACTTGTGCTGACCCCTTGGAGACTGTCCCCTGCAGAGCCACAACTCCGTGCTGTAAAATCGTGCTGCAAAGCAACAGCCCACAGCTTCCTCCCTCAGCATCGATACCCATTGATGACTGTACACCTCAGCACACACACATCAACCAGGGCCTGGGTGGGATTTTAAACAAACAATGTGCTGTTTACTTGCAGGAGAAAAAAGGAAACACACTGAGTAAAAGAAGCTTTACCCATGACCTACAGGCCCACAACAACCCCTTTATCCTCACTCACCAGCTCTGTGCTGCAGGAGACCTGGCACCAGGAGCCACCGTGAGCACCCAGAGCCAGTGGTGCCCTGGAGCATCTCTTTCATAGTGCCTCAGGAAGAACAGAACAATCCCTGCTCACATTGCAGCAGGTTGATGGCCATGATATAGCAAAGCCCCAGGCCCAGCTTGTTAAGGACTTTTCCCAGCTTTTCCACCCCACTGCTGGGTCACCTCAGGGCAAGGTGGCCCTTGGGGTGCCTGGAAATCGGGGTTGGGAGCATGTCTCAACCTCTGCTTTCCCCCTCATCCCAGAATGCTGTGGCTCCCTGTGCGAACAGCCTGGCCCTTGCTCCTCGCTCGCTCCAGTCCAACCCCAAATCTCAGCACCCATCTCCCTCCGGAAAGAAAACCAGTGACACCTCATACCACGCCACTGTGGAGTGTGATGGTTTTAATAGTAATTAGAGAAATCAACAGGGTACATTTCAGCCTTGAAATACAAGTGCAAAAAGGATACAATATAGTGTTTTCTGTACATTTCTTACAAAATATTACATACATTCCATCCTGAAGTGGTACTTCACACACCGCTGTGCCCACACACCACACGTGTACACCAGCCGTAGCTTTTCCTCTTTCCCTCCTTATGTGCAGGACATGGATCTAACAGAAAGCCCCCATTAGAGTCTGGACAGATGCTTTTAGGGCAGTGGTAGGTAAATACAAGGGGTGAACACAGGGACCTTCCTGCCCAGCATGCCCAGGTGCTGGCAGCTCCCGGAGTGCTGAGCTGCCACTGCGCCTATGTGGCAAGTGGGCAGCATCACCCTGCTGGCACCCAGAGCTCTTGGTTTAGGACATGTTTTTTCTCATTGCAGTTTGGCGTTTTCCCTGTGTCTGGCATCACCTCCCACTTCATGCCCTGCAGAGTGTGCCCAGGTCGAGTCATGGCAAACCTGCTTCCATTTTACCCACAGCATCTCCTCAGGAAGAAGTCAGCCAGGCTAAATAGCAAATAAATTAAACCCTCCTCCCCCCGCACTCCCCCAGCACCAGTGAGCCTGTGTGACACGTGTCAGTACCCATCCTGGCAGTCATTGTCATCGTAGTCGGCAGCAGGCTTGTTGCGGTAGGCACCCAGCCGCCGCTTGCGGCTCCCGCTCTCCAGGCTCTGCGGCGAGCTGTTGTCTCCACGGCTGCTGGACTCGCGGGTGGCGTCCTCCTGGGAGTGGCTTTCATCATCATCATCCTCCTCCTGGGACTCACTGATGTTACTCTCTGTGGACCTGCTGTCCTCACCTGTATCATCCTCTTGGCTGTCATCGTCTTCTGGTGATGCGCTCTGGCTCTCGGTTGATGTGCTCGGCTCATCCCCATCAGGGTTGGAGTCATCCTCATCCTCCTTTGACTCCTCTGCAGTGTTCTCTGCGGACAGGCTCTGGTCGCCATCATCTTCCCTGGACTCGCTGTCAGGTGTGGATGGTGCACTCTCGTCCTCAGCAGACTCCTGGTCCTCCTGCTCTTGTCGGGACTGGCTGCTGCTGTGCTCACCTGATGTGCTCACCACCTCCTTGGAGATGTCCTCTGGGGACTCCCCTGGCTCTTCATCTGACTGTTCAGCAGTGCTCTCCTTGGACTCGCTGTCCTCATCCTCCCTGGATGGGCTGTCCTCCCCATCCCCATCCTCCCTGGAGCGGCTTGCACTGTTCTCCTCTGACTGGCTGGTGTCGGGCTCTTCTGACTGACTGCTTTCCTCTGTGGATGGGCTGTCTTCTCCCGAGTCAGCATCCTCCACCTCTGGGGACCTGCTGTCACCCTCCTCCCATGGGTGGGAGCCAGCCCCCCAGCTGCTGCCCAGGGCATGAGGGCCAGCACGACGCCCCTTATAGCTACTGACTGGGCCGTCAAAGACAGAGGGGTCATCACCCTGCATGGCTTCATCCTCGAAGTTGTAGCTCTCCTCCTCCTGGCTGCTGCTGCTGCCCCCTCCATGCCTGTAGGTCCACTCATACCGGCTGCCAAGGTAGTTCCTGTACTGCCGGTGGTCTGCCCCCATGCTCTCACTGCTGCTACTGCTGCTGCTGTCGCTGAGCCCTCCACCAGCCCCGGTGTCCCCATGGTCAGCGTCGTGGTCATGTTCACCTGCCCCATCAGGAACTGCCACATAGGTAGGACCTTCGCCCCCATCCTCTGCCCCATTCTCATCAAAGGTGTCATCCCCACTGTCGTCCTCCTCATCCAGGAGCCTGCCAGCATGAGAGGGAAGCCCATTGACTCCAGTGCCATAGTGCTCTCCGTTGTCACCGTCATCAGCATCGCGTGCATCCTCCTCCTATGGAGATGACAAATGCAAATGAATGCAAAGGCTTGCGGGTCACAGGCACCAGCACTGCTCAACATGCAGGCCAAGTGCTATCCTGACCAACACAGATTTGGTGCTATGTTCACTTTCCTGGCAAGCAAAACACCCCTCTCTGCTCACTCACCAGGAAACCCAGGCTGTTCCCATCCCGGGCACTCACATCCTCGTGGTCCACCTGGTTCAGGTGTTGAGGCTCCCCAGCACTGCCTCCCTTGTCTTGGCCACCATGCTTGCCCAGCTCCTCACCCACAGCGTTCCCAACTGCTTTGTCCCCAGCAAGGGCATTGTTCCCCGTCTCTCCAGTGACAGGAGGATGTCTGCCATCTTCACCATCCAGGAGGTTGCCCAGCTTGTTGATGTAATCTTCATTTGCTGTGTTCTGCATACAAAACATGACACAGCGCTTTGGGTTATTGAACACCACTGCACATTTACTGCTACTGCTATGGGACGATATATCACTCATAAGCCATGCAAGTACTCAAGCATCTTTTTATTGTTTCCACCCCAACCCTTCAGTTGTTTCTGCTGATGCAAAAACAAAAGTAGCCACCAACAAAAGGGTAACACAGAAAAGCCCAAACCATGATAGTTCAGAGCAGAGAAATTCCAGCACAGCAGAACGTACAATGTGAATTGGGAATGTGCATAAGGAAACAAGGTAAAATGAGGTGAGACCAACCCAGACTAAAGAAGTCTGAACAGATGGGCAAAGCTCAAACACCCACGGAAGCAGCAGGTCTTCCCCCAGGTGCCTGCTTTGAGGATGCCTGCTTGGGGCTGGCTCCCCATCCGTTGCCCTACAAGCATGCTGCTTATGGGACCAGGGCACCCCATGTCTTACCTGCTGCTGGGCACTGCGGCGGGAGCGGGTGGGCTCATGGCCAGGCACCTAAACACATCCAGGAGACATCTGATCAGTGACCGGTGTGCCTTGGATGGGCAAACCACCAGGGTTTGGGGTTTGAGTACCTGTCCATGGGTACTTACAGGGTAAGCGCAGGCTATGGGCCAGAGGAGCAGCACCACGAATGCAGCCCGCATGTCAGTTGTGGTCCCCTTGGCTGCAACAGGGAGCTAAGTATTAGCACACTAGAGCAAAACACTGGTACATGCCCCTGCTTGCAACTTGGCCCTACAAAGCCCTTCCAGCTGATACAGCCTTGCCACCCTTGCACATGGTGCTCAGCCTGGTGTGTCATCAAACAAGCCAAGGATTTGTCCTTGTGCCACCTCCTGGCATGTTCTGTGCAGAAACCTCCTTTTAGTTTGGGATTTTAAATAACTGTCCATGCTCCTGCAGATATTTTGTCTAAGCATCATGAAAGAGTGGAAAAGTTCATCCAAATTCGCTGTTCCCACAGAAATGTCACCAGCCACCCAGCTGAAATCAGGGGCAGTGATGTGATCAGGCACCACAGATGGGCATACATAAGACAGTGGGCTACAGAGCTATGCCTCCCACCTGGTGTGGTTCTTACAGCCCATAAAACCCCTGCAGCCCAAAGTGGAGCCCCTGGTAAGACAACCCCATGGAGAGCTGCATCCCCTGCGGCCACTGGCTCGGTCTGGCAGGTGAAGCAGCAAGGGGCTTTTCTCCAGCTCTTCTGTCATTTTCCAAGTTGCACAAGCAGCCCCGCAGGGCATACTGACTGCACTGCACATCAGGCCCTTAGTGACATGGTTTAGTGGTGGACTTGGCAGTCCTGGGGTAAAGGTTGGACTTGACGATCTTAAAGGTCTTTTCCAATCCCGCAGATTCTATGATTCTATGATCATCCTGCACCCAAAACATTCTGGAGCAAAGAGCTCCCAAATTCTTCCCTTAAAAGCAACACCAACACTCCAGCTTACAAGTGCCCTGCTTTCTACCAAAACTTGGAAGGAAATCTACAACCCCTCTTGCCCCAAAATCACCCTTTTCTCTCCAGGTAAAGCTGAAGCAACCCAAAGAAACCAAAACTTTTACCTTGAGCGCTGTGTGAGCCGGTGTCTCCTCAGTGCTTGGGATGGGATGGGCTGGGCTGGCTGCCTGTGCTGGGATGCCCTGAGCTGTGTGCCCTCGGTGTGGCTGTGCAGGCATTTAAGCGCTGCCCGGCTCCGGCCCCGGGCAGGGGGCAGCCAATGGCACTGGCAGGCAGCTCAGCCACGCGTGGAGGTGTCACCAGGAACTGGCCTCCCACACTTCCTCCGGCCTCCGCTGGGACGCCGGCCCCAAAAAAGCTGTTTGTGGTTGCAGGCTGACGAGCCGGGCCGGCAGTTAATGACCGACTGCGCCAGCCGCTGTTTTCACTGCTAAATTTGTCCCGTTCACACACTTCCCGCTGTGACACACACAAACAGCTATGGCCTGGCCCACGCCGAGCACCAGGCCCTGTCCCGGGGATGGCATCCTCCTAAGGCATGCACTTGGGAACAGCGTGTGCCCTGTGCCATGGTGCTGAAACCCACGTGAGACCATTCCCACTCAGCCTCCTCCTGCGCCTTGGGGCAGAAGCACAAAACACTGTGGCAGAAGGAGAGGACATGTTTATTTCCTGCTCACATTTGCACCCGTGCAAGGGAAAAAGGAAATACTAACTAGGTGCACAGGGGAGGATCACATCCCCTGCACAGGGGACTGCAGCACCCCCAGAGCTTCTTCCGGCTGCTGGCCAGGGGATGAAATCTGTGCTCTGGAAAACACAGGCAACAACACATGCACATGTGTATGGGCATGTATATACATGGGCATGCACATGCAAACCTACATATGAAAACATACACACACACCACATATACCATTTGGTGTAGCATGGATTATGAGCTTCTAGTGACAGGACAAGGCAGGGTGGCTTTAAGCTGAAAGAGGGAAGGTTTAAATGAGGTATTAGGAAATAATCCTTCACTATGAGGGCGGTGAGGCACTGGCACAGATTGCCCAGAGAAGCTGGGGCTGCCCCATCCCTGGCAGACTTCAGGCCAGGTTGGATGGAGCTTTGGAGAAACCTGGTCTAGTGGAAGATGTCCCTGCCCATAGCAGGGGGGTTGGAGCTGGATGGTCTTTAAGGTCCTCTCCATCCCAAACCATTCAGATTCAATGATTGCCTACTCCAAACAACACAGTAACCCAGCAGTGCAGATATCCTCTACCTGCTCACAGTGTGAGAAGGAGTTTGCAAACCCCCATACACACACATCCTGGCACAGTGCAAACGCACCTCTCTGACCATATGGTTTAGGTCAGAACCAGCACACCTCAGCCTTATACCCGGCCTTCCCCTCTGCCCCAGTCTGGGTGGTAGGAAGGCAACTTCCTTGCCTGTATTTGGCCATTGCTAAATCGTCTGTGCCCACAGTACCCTCTCTCTGCTAATAAAAACACACCACAAGTGCAAAAAGATTGCTTTGAAGCAGGCAGTGCTTCTCTGCTCTGCAAGCTGGGTTCTCACACAAACCAAGCTGCGGATTATGGGCACAACCACAGGGCGAGGGGCCAGGAGGAGGGTGCCTACAGGTGTTCTATTGAGAAGGAGGTGTAAATGACAGCACTGATACTCTGTGAGGAGTGTGTGCATGTCCTCCAGGTAGGAGGAGGTGTTTCTGCTGCCCTGGGCAAGTGCTGGAGGTTTGCAGGAGACATTGGTGCTGCAAAGTAAATGAATTAAGGAAACCTGAGCAGGGTCTGGATTGAGCCTGGGCTCTGTGAACTGCAGATTACCCGGGATGTCCCATGGCAGGGGGTTGGAACTCGATGATCTTAAGGTCCTTTCTAACCCTAACTATTCTATGATTCTATGTATCACCCTCAGACAACAGCATCCAGGAAGCATCCTCTGTGCTATGACATCACCATGGCTCAACAGAGCATCTTGTGAAAGCAGACATGTCTGTCTGCTGTTGTGGCTGCCTGCTTCATTTCATTCTTGAAGATCTCCTGCTTTCCTGCTTCCACACCCACCCCCCCCCATCATTACCTGCCAGGGGAACTTGCATACCTGCCCTGTGAGGACTGGGCAGGGACCACAGAGGTGCCAAATGCAACAAACTCCTTTTTCTCCTTCCTCCTGCTTCCCACAGAGGGAGGTCCCAGGGCTGACCCAGCCCCATTGCTCTCCCCATAGCCCCTCAGCCTCAAGATGGGTAACACCAAGCGGCTCGCTCTCACGCATGCATACACTTTCAGTAGATGTTTTCCCTCTTCTTCCCTACCCAACCCCTGCTGCAGATACTGTGGGATGTATTTTCCTCTTGACCTGTGACAAAATTATACCCCTATCTCCAGCCAGATATGAGTTCATGTTGCCAACTTTTTTTAGGCACTTTCAACAATTACTGTGTTTTGTTGTGTTGGGTTTTTTATGTCAAACCTACATTTAACTCAGCCCCCAAAGCCATGGTGCTGCCTCACATCCAAGCTGTGCAAGAAGGGGATAAACACTGAGCTGTGCATACCTGGCTTTTTTATACCACGGGTCACTTGCTTACCCCTCTGGCCACCCACCCCCAAGTCACCTTCCTCCTCTCCAGTGGCCCTGGAAATGGCACCAGTGCACCCAACAGCACTCGCTGCCAGAACCCTGACCAGACCCCAAGTCCTTGTGTCCTCCAATAGCCCTGGGTTGAAAGACCACGTCTGCCCCCTAAGTCCCTTCCAGAGAGCATCCCATATCATCAGCCAGAGTGTCCAAGCAGCTCTGCCTTTGTTCTGCAAGGAAAGGAAAGCCCAGCCCACACACTGTAACCTTACAAAAAGGCTTAAAAAACCCCAACCCCCTAAAATGATAATATTGAGGATTATTGTTTGCCACACCATAGGTGAGAAATGGGCTGGGGGTGGGGGGAGTGGCTGCCTGAACAGTGTTATAAATGCTACTGTGCATTTCCCCAAATCACACTCTCCTGAGACGCTTGGTCCCTGGAGGCAGCCAGGACAAGAAGCAGCAGGGCAAGGAACATAAGGAAACCTGGCCAGGCTAAAGCTGGCACCCTCAGGCTACTGAGGAGGTGGCTAATTCAGAGACAAGAGGTTTGGCAGGGCTAATGAGAAGACACAGGAATATCACTGTGCTGTTTGACAAGTTGGACTGTGCAGTGTTCATAAGGCAGAGGTGAGGTATGAACACAGGCAGCAGGACAGATTAGAGATGCAAAACCAAGACAGAAGTTGGCACTGCAGAGTGAACTGACGATGGAGGCACATAGCTGCTGCTCTCTTCCACCAACTGAGCCATCTCAGCATTGAAAACTCAAGAAATCAGTATTAAAAAACAAAACAAACCAAAACAAAAAAACAGCAACACACTGTTCCCTCTTTTTTTCAGTCCAAGGTATTTTCATAGTGTTTATGTTGCTGGTGTACTTCTCTCTTGGTGATGGCCATGGGTTTTGACAGCAGCATCAAAAGGAAAAGGATCAGTGAGTGAACTGGAGGCGGAGAGACCAGAATGAGAGAACAACTCAAGGCACATATCTTTGTCCCTTTCCCAGAACTCAACACCAGCTCCTGCCCTATGCTCAGATCCAAATCCCTCTGCCATGCACTGGCTGGTGAGTTACTACAGTGCAGGGATGTGGTTTCAATTTGGAGCAGGCAGGAATGCCTCCTATTCATTTTCCCTGTACATGCCACATTAGCACCAGGAATTACCCAGTGCCCAATCCCAAAGGACAGATTCCCACACACTGCTCCTCTAATGGGTGCTTAGCCTTGCAAAGCACCCAGGTTCCCATGTCACAACCTGGTTTTCAGATAGACAGACCATAGCTGCTGGCTGTGGGCACAAGGGGGAGGAGCAGCCTGGCTGTGGCTCCTCTGCACATGCAAGAAATGTGAGCAAAGGCATCGTGCCTGCTCCCTGAAGTCTGAGTAAATATTACCTGTGTTTCACAGCATCAATGTAACACACCATGCAGTAGCTACTGGCAACATTTTAGGTGTTTGAAGAACAGCACTGATATCTCAGCTCCCCCCAGCAGGAAGCCTCAAAGCTACAAACACTGCGGTACATGGCAGATGGAAGTTAACGTCATGTTTTTCACAGTGCGGAGGCGCCAACGATACTGGTTCATGCTAAGCTTTTAA